GATAGATAGATATATATACGAACCGGAGCAATATACTCTTCTGTTCCCACAAAAGAATTCGATGCCCTCACTGGTTCGGCCATGAAAATTGGAGTCTGTTGACCTTTATGATGCCTCTTCTTCTTCTTTTCATTTGCTTCAGGAATCAAAAGCTGAATCGAGAAGTTAAAAAGGTTTGTAAGCTAGTTTTATTTGGGTATTAAAGAAGGAAATTCGAGAGGATCATTAGAGATACCTGAGGCTTGCAAGATGTCAAGCAGGAAAGATCAAAATCAGTCAAGGCTACATGTCCATTGCTTTGTATCAATACATTTTCTGGCTTCAGATCTCTGTATATAATACCTACAACGTACCACCATTTTACGCCAATTCATTACTATTAAATTGAGTTACATCTGTTGGTTTTATGAAACACTTTTGACATCGACGAATTTGTTAATTAGAATAATTATCTAGGCCGCGTTTGTAACATGAGACTTGACTAAACAGAACTTTAAGACTTTCTAAGACAAACATAGTACTTGCATAGTTTTTATGGTGTACCTTGACAATGAAGATACTCTAAGGCCACGAGCACCTCTGCAGCATAGAATCTATAAGGAAAAAGATATGTTTGTTAGAATTATCAGTTTAAAAAATAAATAAATAAATACCATCTAATATATACCAAGTGTCAATCAAGTTCTAATTAGATATTATACCTTACAGCCTCTTCCTTCAAGACCTTCATTGGTTGTCTGTCTAAAAGCATAAAAAGTTCTCCTCCAGAACAGTAATCGGTGATCAAACAAACATGAGATGGTGTCTGCAAAGATTTTTGTTTGTTAAAAGTTGATGTGATTTATTAATATTTGAAATTAATGTGAATATTTACCTGAAATGAAGCATATAATGCTGGAAGAAAAGGATGGTCTAAGATATCCAAGATCTCCCTTTCTGCACATGCTCTATGCACCTATTTCATGTAAAAAAAATTAGCACACAATTAATTTCTTGGAAAACTTACGAAATTAATGAATATTTTTGCAACACCATTAGTAATTAAAAATGGTTGGTAACTTTGGAAAAACTTAATATCATTACCTTGTTACGATTGAGCATTACACCTTTATCCATTGCTTTCATCGCAAAGAACTCTCCAGTTCCACATAACTCAACCAAATGAACACTTCCTGTATCACCGGATCCTAGAGGCTTTATGGGCTTAAAATGCTTCAATCCTAACTTTTCTCCACTCTCAATAACCTACAAAAACCAATATACAACAATTAACCAGATATATATGTATATATAGTGATGTTCATATGCATATTTATATAGAATCCTAGACACTTTAAAGGTATGTATGGTACCTTTAAAATAGCATTCCAGGCTGAGCTATCCCTTCTATGAGGCTTGGGGCGAACTTCATTCGAATGTTTTGCCCATAAATCATCTGGGGTCTGTGTACAATCATTAAATTTAATTTACTCCATATTCTATAATAATTCAGTGTTGAAATATCTTTCACAATCTAGTTTTACATTCTGCTAATTAGGGTTTTACCATATTAGCATCTGGAAGTTCTCGGACTGCTTCATCGACGTTTGCTGCAGTCTCTTTCACCTGAAAACCATATAAATGATTGTGATTCATACATATATACAGATACATTCAATTGTAAGTATAGAGAGGATATATATTAGGGTTGATGATCAGAGTGTAGCTAGTTACCACAACAGCGCCATCTTTAGCAGTAGCTTCAGGGATACAGTTGTGAAGTGGCTCAACATGTTGACTTCCATCTAATTGCACCCCAATAAAGTATTGCACTTCTCCCTACACCACACAAAATACG